ATTCATCTATAGATGATGTCTGTGATAATGAAAAAAATTGAGTTCTTTCAACTACTTAAAACTATGTTGCTAATCTTTAAAATGATAAATATTTATTTTCTGTTTGTCTTACAATAAAGGACAAAGGTTCTTCTAGCCCTCAATATAGTGGTTAAAAAAATAAAATCATTTATCGCAAAACTCTATGGTTTTACACTATGAGTTGATCTAAAGTGTCTATCCTATAATTTTTCGATGTAAACAGCTCTTTAGTGAGCCTTCATGAATGATTTATATATGTTTATAAGCTTACTGTTAGACCATTAAATATAAGTCTGATTAGAAGCTTATTTAGCAGTTATAGAACATTCATTCACATTATTATATACGGAGTTCGAGTGAGGTAGATTAATGGCTTAAATACTCAAACTTTACCTATTCTCAATTTATTCAAATTATTAAATACACAAAGAATTACATTTTGAATGTCATAGAAAAGCGTGAGTAACTCACTGCACAAAGCTGTACATGGCTAACTAGTTCAATTGAATTATAGAATTTATTTAAAGTTTGGTTCATACCTGAAAAGTTTATTGGGGGTCTACAACTGTTATTTCAAATCTAATGTGATAAAAATGTGTGTTCATTACTCTACTATTCTATGAAAATGTATCTGTAAACAAAGATTCTTCCAGGTATACAGACTCATTTATACTTTAACAAGCGTTAAATTACTAAGGTATTCTTCTATTTAAGCTCGGAATAAATTAACCTGCTGATTACCTTTTTCACTGATTAACACTAGTTAAGTTAACATTAATAATAGCCAGTGCTCAGCACTTGCTTCATTCCTTATGAGGCTTGCCAATAGCACACTCTGTCTTGAATTCAATGAATGCAAAATTTTGTATTTCAACTCAGTGGTACAGTAGTTACACTATTTATGTCAGACTTATAAATTTTGATTTCTATCCCCGATGTACTCATTCATGTCCGGTAATGAGGACTTCACAATGGTACACAATATATCACCGATCTCAGATAAAAGTTATCTGAAACTAATGTACTTCTTGATTCATTTTAGTTAGAACCTTTCAGTTATTTTGTAGTTAATTTCTGTTATTACTTTACAGTATAATTCATTTTGGCTATAGATTTTCATTCATTTTGACATTAGATCATTATTACATTCATTTACACCCGATTTCTCTAAACAGTGTACATGATGATCTATTTGTAAGCATGATCACTTCTTGCATGAACGCATGTTGAGATAATGTAGTCAATAGGCTAAATAGGTTTATTCAGGTCAGTTCACATCATGCATCGAAATATTATCTAATATAACTATGTAGTTTAGTAACCTTCTTCAATTAGAAATCAATCATCATTATGAAATTATTAACAATAATCAAGATTAATTTGACAGTAGTTGAATAATTCTGTTGAAACTATACTTCATTATAATATCATGTCATCAGTGTTGATTGAAAATTTAACAGAAAAGTGTGTTCAGGAAATAACTATTCAGTAAATGTATCATATTTGATGTAATTAATATAAATCATAGTTCAATTTTAGCACATTTAAAGACCAACATTTTTCATGTAAAACCCAGTTAAGGGGGTTGTTTGTGGAGATTTTTAGTAATTTTTTATATATAGTTGAAATCATGACTGGTGAGCCCTGGTTTCGAATCTCGCGAGGTGGGACTGTGGATGCGCACTGCTGGGCAGTTCCACAATAGAACGAAACGGTCGTCCAGTGCTTTCAGGTTTTCCATGGTCTTCTAGCTTCAGTCGTCTCATGATTTCAAATATATATAAAACCCAGTTCGTTGAAAAGAATGGAAAGATTTCAGCGGAAAAAAATTCTTTTTCAACAATATCATTTTCCGAAGTATTGAATATAATAATTTATGAATGAGAGAGTGTTATTTCAATCAAACTTTTTAAATAATGAATAAAAAAGGGTTGCATCATTAATCAAGGTTATCAAAAATCATCGAGAGCTTACAATATGTAGAAATTTTTGTAAGTAAATAGAGGTAATACCTGAATAAAACTATCCATTTGATTAAGGATAAGAAAAAGAAGGTAATAATTAGTACTTAACATTTATAACATTCAAAAACAAGCTAATAGCATAGGTAGAATATAGTTCTTTTATACTCAAAGTTTGGGTTTGAATTAGCGAAATGCTCTAGCCTCGTCTGTGCACAAATCCTTCAAGTAAACCATTTTTGAGTAATTTACTTAGTATTGTTTGTTTGGATCTTCCCATTTATGTTTTTAGGACTGCAACTGGTCAGTCTCTAATTGACATATGTGCATACTGTGCGTAATGCCTCGATATAACCTAAATTCACAAGCTTGGTAAGCAGAGATGGATAGTGGCTAGCAGTGGAATCCAGTTTGACGCGCGTTTCGTCCTATTTGGGACTCGTCCCGAAGTGAACATCAACTCTGAGATGCAGGTACATCCAGTTGACGAGTCCCAAATAAGACGAAACGCGCGTCAAACTGGATTCCACTACTAGCCACTATCCATCTTTGCTTACCCTTTTTGAGTAAGCTCTTTTTCCTTTGCAGAGGATTATGAACGAAGTTTCATGTGATGCAGTATGACCCGAACTGATTATATGTTTAAGGAATAAGCTGTTGACCAATTTGTATTCCTCTTTAGATAGCAATCCAGTGTGGTATTGGTTACTCATTTACTAAATGCTCCCTTTGTACGACCAATATAAACTGCTATATACAAGCAAGTAAACTGGTAGATTCACATGGTGGATCAAAGTGGCGGTTTATCCTTGAAACTTTCTGAAATGAATTTTGTTGCACGAGAAAATGGTCCAAAACTCTGCAGAATAAAACGTCTTTTTTAGAGATCTCGATAATATGTTCTTTTATATCTCGATCGCTGTATCTACCTTAAATTCAATGTTCGTGAATAAAACTATCTTCATGTCTATGGAAGTACTTCTATATTGATGTTTTGATGGGAAGTCGTTCTCCAGAGGTGTTCTTTGGATTATATTCAGCTAATCATTAAAAGTGTCTTTAGAGCATACTCGTCCTGCTCTTGATGATGAAAAATGAATTAAATTTCTCTTCCTATTTATCAGTACCCAACTCTGAAATTTCATAAACTGCCTGTTCGATGTTTTCTTTATGCATAATACAGCTTCACAATCAGAAATGTTACCATTGATCTATTCGGGTGGTGGGACTGCGATGCACTTACAACTCATTGATCGCTTTGTAGTGACTAAATTATTCCATTTTGTCTTAAATTAGTGCTGGACGAACTCTGTCAGTCAGATACGATGTGGACACTAATGATTTGAAATCGTGTGCACTATGTTGTGATGAAAGATTTCCGTTACACCTTGCTAGAGAAAACCAAAAGTCTAGGTCTAGAGTTTTCTGTCCATTGTCTTCAACCCACGCATATTTCAACCCAGTGCAAAAGATATACAGTCATTTAGACTAGTTGGCATATATTAAGTTGACAGATAGAACGCGATCAGCTCTAAAGTACTAGAGATACATGACAGTAGTCACTACTAAGTGATTAATTAATTGTAAAACACATTATTACTACATCATAATTCACTAAGCATAACGTGATTTACTGTAAACGTTTATTAAACTTTGGTTTTCATCACGATGAGGACGATTACAACATATTTCCATCAACATCTCTGCATAATTTTATTGTCTAATAATTTGCTTCATTTACGTAATATTGAACTGGCCATAATTCAGTTTCATTTTAAACATTTTGACTTATGCCAGTTTGAAAGTATCTCATTTACAATACAGTTAGAGATCTTTCATCTTGTTGATATTATCTCAATCATTGGTCGGATCTTTGCGATGTCGACCCATTTCAATTCAAAATGGCAATTAACTTTGAATTGTTCATATCCCTGAAAGCAGCATAAAAGTGATTTTTAATTATCACCGATCTTTTACTTTACAACGAATAAAATTATATTTGAAATATGTTTTCTCAAATAGACAATGAATTATTTTTACATTTCATGTTTTCAATATCCAATATTTTGTTAAACTTCAAGTTTCACTCGACTTAATTCACTGTATTGACAGTTTAAAGCATACTCAGACATCAGATTGTTTTTATTCGCTATACAAACTCTAGTCTGCATATGTAAATGAACATTATTTTGATTATTAAACTCAGAAGACTTCTTTAAAGTCACATCAAACTATGTGTTCTGAACTGTTTCCTTTATGACAGAAGGAATATATTTAATAGAGACACTGAAGTCTATTTTATTAAGCAAAGCTGTTCCATAAACAATCATTTGATTTTTTAAAAAAGGTAGTTTTGTGATAATGAGTCTCTGGGATGCTAATAATTCATTCGCTTTGCGACATTTTACTTTTTTAGATCAGAAGGTGTTTTGTGGATATTTCGATATTTCTGTAGTGGAAATCATGAGTCAATTGAAGCTTGACCACCATGAAAAACCTAGAAGCACTGGATGGCCGTTTCGTCTTATTATGAGACTCCTCAGCAGTGCACATCCACGATCCCTCACTCGCGAGATTCGAACCCATGACCGACCAGTCTCGCGCCAGAGCACTCAACTGATAGACCACTGAGCCGGCATCTAACGGTGTTAATGTCTGACTTCAACTGATCGACGAAGTTGAGCAACCGTTCACCAATTGTCTTCAGTGAGTTGATATCTCTACAACAGACTTGGTTGAACTCCACTGATGAGGAGTCCTATAATAGGACGGAACGGCCGTCTAGTGCTTCCAGGTTTTCCATGGTGGTCTAGCTTCAATTGACTCATAATTTCAACATTTTACTTTTGTTTTTTCATGAATTTGACTGCCTCTTTAATGATAGCTAAGTTTTCTCTGATTACTGACTTTATGTGGGTTGTTGTAATTATTCGGTATAGAAAGAATATTTTAACTACGACTTACAATGCCATTAGATTACTTATCATAACACTTTATCTCACTGTTTTTATTTTATAGTATGTCTTTCCTGTGATATCTTACAACAATGTGAACAAGTAGTATGCAATAATGTATTAATAAATGGAACATTTATCCCAGACTACGTAATTGGATGTGAACTAGCTTGCCTTTTTGGAAATATATCCTGTCAAAAAGATAATAATGGTACACTTACTTGGCTACCAGAAGATCCATGTTTACCTTTAATTAGTACAACAACTTCAGAACCAAATAATTCATTGGCGACAACTACTTACTTTCCGTTTCACGCTGACACACCACAAATTAACACAACTACTGATCTAGGTGTCTTAAATACAACCATCATTGAAATAAACGAAACGGATAGTGATTATGTGAGCACAGAATCGCCAAGTTATACCACTGAAGATATAAACTATTTAAAAGGATGGACATTATTCTGGCTTATTCCTTTGGTACTAATTATTACAATTCCTATATTGTTACTCTTTTGTTTGGTTTTAAATCATTTTCAAAGGCGTAAACATCGAGTAGAATTTCCACTGTCTGAAAAACACATTTTTGATATAATTGATCCTTCTACATCTTCTTGGGGAAATTTCTCCCATCCATATAAAACAGGGACTCCAATTGGACAAAATGGATATTATCGTCAAAATAGAAATACTATTTTTGAAGCATATGATTCACCAAACAAAACAGATAGAATTCTTACTAATTTACACAAAATATCATCACCGATATATACCAAGTTGAAATTCACTAACAGAAAATCAATATCACCATGTCCGAATAGAAGACTTATAAATTGGCAAGAATCAGGTACTTATGAATTTGCTATTCCACCAAGTCCTAAATCTGCTTCATCAATGAATATTAGTAAAACGCCGCCGAATTATTCTCCAAAAAAAGAAAGAAATTATTCACGAATTCCATACAATTTAAACAATTCTACATCACAAATTTTCTCAGGATCTCCAACTATTCATATAAGATATCCTGAAGAAATGAGATCAATTAGTCAATATAATATATTAAATCCTCAAAAATCAAATGTACAAGATATATTATTACCTGATTATTACATTCAAGATGGTCGAACTACAACAACATTCAATCGTCATGATAATCATTTACAACGGCCAAAATTATCTGATGATGATAATCAAATCTATCAAACAGAAGCATTAATCAATTGTGATGATAATGAATTCAATAATGAAGATACATTTGATCAAATATCATCAATTACTATGCAACCAACTACTATTCAACAACCAATATCAAATGTATCATTTAATCAACCTTTTAATGCATTTATTGACTGTGAAAGTCAACAACAAATAGACCAACTAGATATGTATCATTCACAATACAATGATTGGACATTAGATAAAACAACTATTCCACGAATACCTCGTATTTAAAATATTGAAAGCCTTTTTAGATTTCATTATTTTTAACTGTAATTTTCTTTTTTCTTTTTTTTTTGATGTTTCACTATATGAAGATCATGGTATATGCATTGAATGGATCAAGGTAATGAAGTAAATAAACCGTTTCTTTACAATCTCTTCTTCTATTATTCAAGTAATTTATGCGTATTCTGTAAGTAGAAACAACAATATTGGACAATCATACATATGAAAGAATAAACAGTAACAAACTATGTATATTGATAACTTAGGTAAAGATTTACTTTCAATAAGATTTTTTTCTGTTTTTCTCTCATTGTCGATTGTTTTATTACATTTAAAGTATTTCGAAGCAAAGCGGTGTCATTTCTTTGATTTCTTTAGTATTTTGATAATTCATTCGGATGTTTTAATCTATATAGATATACTAATGATAATCTTTATTTCTCAAAGAAAAGTCCTTCTATTTGAATAAATGATAAATTGCAATGAATAATTATTTATAGACTGAATATTATTCTAGATTATTTCTTTTTATTACGAATTAATTAAACCAAACTATACCGTATTTGACTACTGTTTATAAAACTCTATAACGTTATGAATTCATCAGTAACAACATATTTTATTGGTTATGTACTTGAATGACCGACCGTTTACTATAGGACCAGTTGAATTGACGAGTTAGCTTGTTGACTTATTTTGGTTAATTGTTTTAAGAATCAGTAACTTATTTATCGAATGAGTCAGTGATAGTAAATAATGATTGTATAATATCAACAACTCCTCCTGAAGCCCCAGTTGGGTCACTGCCGATCTCAACCACAGTTAAAGGAAAAGGGTTGGGAATAGGGGAAACGACTACATCCTGTAGAAACCTTACTCACCAAAAAAACGCTAAACGGAAAAAATAATTCAAACCATTAAAAATCTCTGTTCTGAGAGTTAGGTCTTCATTTAGAAGAGTTATGAGGCCTCATGATGAAAGCCGGGTTCCTTCGAAAGTCAACAGGCCGATACCCCTTCTGACAACCGGAGCAACAACTTTTATAGGTACATGGAATGTCCGGACAATGAGGTAGACCGGAAGAGTCTTCCAAATTACTGCAGAAATGAGGAAATAAAACCTGGAGGTGCTTCGGACCAGTAAAACACATTGGACGCAGTTTAGACAACAACGACTATCTTCAGGGGAGCTTCTGTTTTACTCCGCCATGAAGAAGAGAAAGGCTCCAGATGCACAAGGAGTTGTACTGACGTTTTTTAAGAAAGAACAAAATGTACTTATCGGATGGGAATCTCATGGACCAAAGATCATCAAAACCTACTTCGAAGCAAAGAAAGAGGGCATTACAATAAATGTTATCCAATACTATGCGCCAACCAACGACTACGATGAAAACGTTAAAGATCAATTCTACGGTAGGCTGCCGTCGATCGTCGGCAAGTGTCCAACAAAGGACCTAACCATTTTGATGGGAGATTTTAATGCCAAGGTTGGAATGGACAACACTGGATAAGACGTCATGAAACGACATGGACTAGGAGAAAGGAACAAAAATGATGAGAGATTTGCAAACCTGTATGACTTCAATAAACTGGTCATATACGGAACTATATTCCCACACAAACGCATTCATAAAACCACATGGATTTCACCGGATCACACTACACAGAATCAAATCGACCATATCTGCATCAACAAAGCGTTCTGGAGCATGATGGAGGATGTGCGAATCAGGAGAGGAGCTGATATAGCTTCAGATCATCACTTGCTGGTCGCCAATATGAAATTAAAACTCAAAAAGCATTGGACAACGGGGAGGACAACATAGCCCACAACAATAAGTTCCAGGCATTCCAATGATCTACTCAATGGAGAGGGAACTACCACGGAGAGCAACTGGAAAGGGATAAAAGAGGCAATCACTCCAATATGTCATAAGGTTCTTGACCCCAAAACGTATCACCACAATGAATGGATCAATGTTGATACACTAGATAAGATTGAAGAAAGGAGGAAGAAGAAGGCAGCAATCAATACCAGCCGAACAAGAGCAGAGAAAACCAAGACACAAGCCGAATACACAGGAGTAAACAGTCAAGTGAAGAGGAGCATCCAAACCGACAATCGTAAATATGGGTAAGGTTTAGCAATGACAGTAGAAAAGGTTGCGAGAGAAAGAAACGTGAGACAATTGCATGATACAACAAAGAAACTCGCTGAAAATTACCGTAAACCAGAACGACCAGTGAAAAGCAAGGAAGGCAAAGTAATCACCGACATTGGAGAACAACGAAACAGGTGGGTAGAACACTTCAAAGAACTCTTGAATCGACCAGCTCCACTGAACCTACCCAACATCGAAGCAGCACCCACAGACCTCCCAATCGATATTGGCCCACCAACAATTGAAGAGATCAGCATGGCCATTAGACAAATCAAGAGTGGCAAAGCAGCGGGACCAGACAACATCCCGGAAGAGGCACTGAAAGCAAATGTAACAGCAACTGCCAAGATACTCCACATCCTCTTCAGTAAGCTTTGGGACGAAGAACAAGTACCAACAGACTTCAAAAAAGGACTTCTGTTCGAAATACCAAAGAAAAGCGATCTTAGAAGGTGTGATAACTACACGAGCATCACTCTTCTTTCAATACCAGGAAACGTTTTCAACAGGGTGTTGTTAAACAGAATGAAGGACTCAGTAGACGCCCAACTTCGAGATCAACAGGCTGGATTTCGTGTACAGACGAAATTGCAACTCTACGGATCATTGTAGAACAATCAATTGAATGGGATTCAACACTTTACATCTCTGGAGAGTAATATACAATAAATATGATTCTATATATTGTTTTTGATTACCTTTAAATAGCTTTTCTACTGAACTATTAAAAGAAACTTATCTAGGTAACTACTATAATATAAAAGATAATAGCCATCAATTACAGTTTTGGGATTATATTGACCAAACTATAATAAAGGATTATTATTTCAGTGATATATAATCCATAAAATGAAATCAGGAATTTCATATTCTTAATTTATTAATTTTGAACTAAAGAAAGAAATGTCAATGACATTCTATTCTATCAAAATGAATTGAATTTAGACAAATTGATTAAACGGTGTTTTTCTCAATTTATTTCCTTTTTAAATGATGTAGGTCGCACATAATGGATTATAATGGGCTTTATCATTGTAAATCTATTTTCTACATTTAAAGAGATTCACTTATAGACAAACGTAAAATTCAAGTAATTCAAATTGTATAATTACTTTACAAGAAAGACTGATAATAGTGTTATATTATCGAGCATTTTTGGTTTTATTCGATGTATGACTGTTTTACAATAGATATGATTGAACCCAAGTGATCACAGCTTCATACTAGAACTCTGAAAATTTCCTCGCAAAGTGAATCACTAGCGTGCATCAAATAAATAGAAGATAAGGAATTGATCAAAGTTAGATTTGCACTTGATTGAATTGAGGCTCATTTGTATAAAAATTAGGCGTTCATGTGTGAGATTGAAATTTTTGGTTGTGAGGTTATTTGTTAGAAATCTTGAAGATTGTATACTGGGAAGAAACAGTTGAATAAGACTTACAAGTCTTCAATATTTTTCTAGCTGAAATAGGTTGGTAACCTCCATTAAATGATAAGAGCTAACTAGGTGTGTGGTGAACAAGAATTCAGGTTATGTAAACCAATGTTTTGTTTTATGCAAAATCAACATATGGAAATCATACATCAAATACATCATTTGCATATCTTTTTTGCATACTCCATCATTCTTCCAATCCTATTGTTATCTCATTTGTTATCTGTTTTCCTTCCTTTTCTTTTAATTTCAATGTTTTGATGGTAGGTATTTCAATTCCCATTCCCGCTACACACTACTTGTGTCTCTTCGGACAATAGAAGTTGTTAGAAGTTGTGAGAAATGGATCTGAATTTTAAAAAATTATATGACAAGACACTGTTTTTCTTTAATTCCAAAACTATCAAATATACAGAAAAATAACTCAGTTCATACTTCTAGATAGTGGTTATTTATTTGAGAAAAGAATAGGGAACAATGAGACTAAACCAGAAAAAACCCTTCATATTGTTTCATCAAAGTTTCAATCTTATAGATGTTGAATACAACAACAAATTTACCTTATTTTTTAAAACTATAACTCACCTCAATTACAAAAAGTGTAAGTTTGTTTTGATTCAATAACATTCAAACTGGACATCAGAGTTCAGAATATTATCAATGGATTACTTGACCAAAGAAAATATACGTAACAACTTTCTTATATTACTTGTTATATTTCATTTGGAAACGAATAACTAATGATCAAAAATTTCCTCATGCACATTCTAGCAAGATTTGTTGGTATTAATAATTAGTAATGCGTATTTAAGTAGATCACAATTAGTAGTATGAAGAATATGTCAAGTAATCACAAAGATAATTATTGAACTAGAACAAATAATTTTTAAAGTTTTTTCAAGGCTAACAGATTTTTTTGTTAAACTTTTTGTTATCTCGGTATTTCTACATCCAGATTTGTAGAGCAATTCTGTAACAATCATGTTTAATTCATTGTTTCATAAGTTTAAAACCTTCGTTTCCAGATATTCTGTTTACGTATTCTTTACAGGTATTTTCTAAGACAGATTAACTAAAAATAAGAATAGTGAAGCCTAGTAGGCCCTTCTGGAGAAGAGTGCTACATTGAAGCACGGCACAACTACCGGGATGGGATAGTTGTTTTTGCAGGGCTTACGCAGAACCATTACATAACACTTGCATTCGGGTTTTTTGGGCAAACTCATTTTTACCAAATTCTTGAACTCTCAATAGTTATAGAAAGAGACTCTTTCTAGTATTCGTAATCGTTTGTGGGAATAGGTAGAGTGGTTGATTAGGCCGATCTCCACCACCCACATTACCGCTCACGTTAATACATGGGATGGTTGTCATGATCCTGGACGCACGACGAAGATGTATGAGTCGGATTTTGCTTCCCAAACAGATTGACTAATGTACACGAAAACCAAGTTACTATGTTTTTGAATTTGGATCAAAATTTATCAGTGAATTAACTTTATGTCTTGTAGGTTGAAACAATGTGTCAATAACACATTAACCAAACAATAAGTCCATGCGACTGATCAAGAAGTGATTTCGGCTTCTAAAGAATGAGACATATCCCATTAGTGGAAAATTGTGGCTTAAATATCTAAGGGATTTATGTACATAAATCACAATAGGTGTACAGTTATTTTTCGGTTCGATTGATCAGTAAAATTCTTTCTTCTTACTCTCAGTCTTATCACTTAAGTAGCCGATCGCGTTCAGCAATAGAAAGTTTATTAATAAACATCAGAGTCAGACACAGCTCAAAACAATGTAGGTTTGACTATGTTTTACTATTCAATATTAGTATTGAATCTGCCAGTGCGATAGTAATTACTTTACAATGTTCGTAATCCATTGGATATCACTTTTATTTATTCTATTAAGTCATATACTTAAAGTATTAGAAAGTATCACAATTACTTCTTGTTAATTTTGATTTTTAACTATAAGAAAATAGACCTATACTTGAATGTAATAAGGGTAGAAAGTGGTTATGTAGTTTCCGAAAATGTCTTCTCTTCTGTTTTTTTTAATTGTACTAGGTAATGTATTATCAGCATTTAGTTTTAAACGTACCGGGATTATATGCACGGGAGGCACATAAGTCAAAAACGGACTGACCAACTTCAGATCTAAACTTCAATGGAAAAATTCAAACAACCAATGTAAATGAAGTACATAACAACCTCGTTAACAAAATTCAGGAAAATATAATTGGTTTCATTTATGATACTTACTAAACTAATTAACAACACTGCACGACCGTTTCGTCCTATTGTAGGACTCCTCAGCAGTGCGCATCCACGATCTCGCCTCACGAGATTCGAACCCAGGACCTATCAGTCTCGCGCGCGAACGCTTAACCCAATCTAGGTAGTTTATGAGTCAGTGATAAAAACGAAATCGACCGAATAAATTAACGATACACAGCTCCGTTCTATCATACCTGACTGATAAATACTATGTAACCGACTG